TCAGCAGGATTCACCTTAACTGTTTGCTTTACCATTGCTTCCTTCATCACACTTGCTGACCCTTCTTCTGTGATTCACACCTTAATCAGGAAATTACTCCATTTAACTCAACAGTGCGTTAAGTTTGGAGCTTTTGGTTTTGACTTCAGCCGCGCAAGCGTTGCTGATTTGTTCGGGCTCGTTGGAAGTCTGATTTTGATTCTGTATATTGATTCATTCACTCTTAATTATTAATGCATTTCAAGTGTGTGAAGATTTATGTGTGTGCGTGTACATGTGTACATACACACAGAGGAGGTCATATTTTCCAAGATTAAAAGATTCACCCATATGGAATCATTCAAAAAGGAAATGCATGTTCAAAATTTGTGGTACCTTTGAAAACCTCAATACACTGTAGATGGATAAACACTGTAGGTGGATTAGACCCATACCAAACAATTTGAGTTTACTGAAACTTACAGTGAGTAACCAGTATCAGCTTAACAGTGGAGACACCAGCACTCCGTCTTAATATGGATACATACTCACACACACAATCTCATCCAGCAACATGCATGCCTAGCTAAGAAGAAAAGCATTGAAATATGTATAATAAAAGGGGGTCAGCAGAATTACTTAATTAGTGTCAAGTACAGCAGTTCTCAAAACCTTGGGAACTTTTCAGACTACTAGTTGGAGGTAAGTCCACCTCTATATCTAACAAGGTCCATTTCTGTTCAGTACATATGTTTATTTACTCTCCAGATTGAACAGTGGATAAAAAGCAGATATGCATGAAACCGGCAGCCACAGCCTTCTTTTGTTTAGGATCATCCATTGTTGAATCATTTTTCACTGCAGCCAAAGGGCCTGTTTGAACTTCCTGACTGTTCATCACACATAATTTGGAGTATTTAACATTATGTCAAGAAAATTGCCACTGCTTCCCACCGTGGAAACCTATGGGAGCTCTATATCTTTAAACTAATTTTACTTAAAGTATTCCATTGAATAGCATGACTGTCTCACTATAATCAGTGCAGCAGTAATGTAATTAATCTCAAAATTGCTGTGGGGAGTACAAGACATCTCAGCTGCTTGTCGTAACAATCTAAATTAGCGTATTACTGAAAGATGTTGGGGAGGAACAGTTCATTTTAGGTAAATGCTGTCAGGGTATCCATCCTTTCTATTTCTAAAGATGAAATTAAAACTATCATCATAGTTCTCCTTTTGAAATCCAAATGAGTATGTTTTGAGGTGGGAAAGTATAATTAAATTTGATGTGGTATTCCTACAGATGCAGTTTTGCATTTTAAAATAATTAAATTTGTTTGAATAAAAATTCATGTTTTATTTAGAAAAGAAAAACTGGTTTGGCTCAAAGCATGCCATTGTATCAGAACAATTCCCTTTTGTCACTGAAACTCCACAGACGGCTGCTTCTTCTTTTCCTAAGCAAAAAATTATTCTTGCCGTTTTACTTTTTGTACAGCCATCCTTTAAGTGTTCTATTTAGAGAGATTTTGACTGGGCATGCAGCTCCTCTAATGTACGGCATATCTCAGAAGTGAACTCTAAGGAATTAAATGTAAAAGAGATTCCACTAATAATAGTGGTTAATGATAATAAATTGCAGAGAATAGCTGATGCAGATGCCTGGAATCCCATACTTGATGTTGTTTAACCCCATCCCCTCTTCTCAGGAACTAAATCAAACATCAAATGAAATGAAATAGATTAATATAAAGATTATGAAAGGTGAAAGTAGTAAATTGAAAGTAGTAAATTGAGGCCAGCATGGCCTGTTATTCCCTATAGAGCTGCAACACAATAATAGGAAGTATTTTCAGTTTGCTACTACTCTGAAAAAAATCAGCAAAGTAAAATTTTATGTTTTGAGGTCTAAAGATTAATCTTTCAACCACAGATAAGGGAAGAAAGTAAGACTCTTGTTGGGCAAAGGGTTGAAAGTGCTTCTCCTCCTCAGTGAATATACTCCCCAATGTTAAAAACACAAGATAGTGCATTTGTCAACTGTTTGAAAGTCAGATACTTCATTCAAATGTTGTATTCTTTTCAGTGATGATCCAAAGCAGAACACTGAACAATCCAGACAGATTATCACCTAATCTGCTCTTTTAATATATATAAGAAATCAAAATGTAAGTAAAACAAGCACTGAATAATTAAAGAAATGTGTAACAGTAAGGGCCTGATTTTAATTTGCATAATTTTTCCCCTAATAGTGCCTAATTAAGACATCAGTTTAAAAAAAAAATCCAATAGAACTCTAAGATTTTCTGCACTGAATTAACGTTAAGGACTTTTAATGGATGTCTTAATTAGACTTTGTTATTCATGGAAATTTTACACAAATTAAAATCAGGTCCTGCATGCAACATTCCCAGCTGAGCCTCAGCAAAAATGCTATATGGGACTGAAAGACTTTTAATCCATGTGCAAATAGCAATTTGTATTCTAAAGCCAACATACTCCATTTTCACTTTTTCGTTTAATTTGTATTAATATTGTAACCAACAAAAATCACATAGTTAGGACTTCTCCCTTTGATTTTATGGACCCACTTTTTTTTTTTTTTTTTTTTTTTTTTTAAATACATAGAAAGTCATGCAGCTGGACCGGAGCATTAGCCAATGGGGACAATAGCCACAATGGCCTTCTGAACAGCCCAGAGGGGCCGTATCTGTTATTCAACATAGAAAGTTTGATTCAGCCTCAAGTTCTATTGCTGTTGTGCCTGAAATACGCGCTGAAAGGCCTGTCATTACTGGTGAAAAACAAAGCAAAACAAAACAAAGCCCAAAACAAAATGCCGTCACAGCAATCCCTTCATCCTTGATAAGACAGTTCTTCCAAAGGAACCTAAATCTTAGGAGGAGGGAAACCTGACCGTTGTCTCTTCGTTTTACATTCCCAAGGCTCTTCCAGAAAACATGCTAAAGCACAAGTTGGAAGGCTCCACAGAAGCCTTTCAGACAAGGCATCAAAAATAAGTTACAGCCTGAGCAGCAAAGATTACTTTACACTGACAGTGGAAATATTCCAAGTATTGACAGACCAAGTCTCAACTGCAGTTTATCCTATAATGCAGATCACATGCTAATGCTACGTGCTGATGCTATCATGGAAAGCGGTTTTGCACATAGTCCTTCACAAATTACTTTGCTAACGAAAACCATGTTAATTTCCCATATCAGACACAAGTCTGAATCGGTGTGGCAGCCAGGAACTCATCTGTTACTGCATGTTCTCTACAAAAGGAAGAAAAAAAAAGTTTATGGGTCTGTGCTGTGCTCACTACAGTAATGCCTTTGCATCTGTGCAAAGAAATGTCAGGTGTCTATGAAAGAGGGCAAGCATTACCTTGAAAATATTTTATTTTCATTGTCAGTCTGTAAATATACGTGTATGTCCGTGTGTGTGCATGCGTTTGCATGTAGGTATCAGCACACTCCTTGCTCCGTCCTGCAGCAGGAGCTTCGCCTCCAGCAGCCCTGCGAGGCCAGAGCCCTGCGAGGCCAGAGAGCCTGCAGGAGGGGTGCGGGACTAGGACCTGCCCTCTTAGTGTTGCCGGGTTGCTCAGGACAAGTATTTTCCTTACGCTTGACGGAGGAACACCAAGTGGATATGACTAACCTTCCCCCTTTACTTGACCTTGCTGAACAGGAAGATTTGCTGGATTGCTTATATACCAGCTCCCAGCTTGCGCCGAGACCAGAACTAGTGAGATACCAGCCTAGACACCCTGGAAGACACACATTCCTCATAGGATTTGTTTTGGAGGGTTCGTGTTGTTTTACAGTACCTGGCTAGTCTGTGGGCTGGACGGGTCGTAAGAAGGTACATAATTCTTCAGAGTATCCTGAGGATTCAGGTGGGGAGGATATCTGATCGTTGGATGAGAGAAGTAGCTAGACGGGGCAGGAGGGAGAATAGCTTGTGCTGGAAATGGCAATGGTGAAGGTGGAGGTGGAGTTCTAGTTGAGATGACTGGAGAAGATAAAATAAAATTAAAATTACTTCGCATCTTGTTTCTTCTAAAATTCTTCACCTCTGTGTTACAGCAAGAAAAATAAAATGTGAGTTATAAATCAGTACAACACACTCCTGCTTCATGGCATCTTTACAGAAAAACTTACATGTCCTCCCCTCACATCATCCCAAGCAATGGAAACTGCTACTGTTTCAAATTCATAAATACTCATCCTGGTTTTGTGGGTTATGCCATCACTTTTTTTTTTTTTTTTTCATTTTTTCTTTAAACAGTAATCATTCTCTAGCATAAAAGACATTTCAATTACACAGTTTTCCCATCTGGACCCCAAATAAACAAGACAAATATTTTACTTAATAAATAAAACCTATTATTTTATCCACAGCACTCCAACAGAGGAGAGCAAAGTCACCAAGCCCTAAGAAACAGTTAGTGATTCCTCACTGCATTGCTCTCTACCTGCTTCACATGGGGACAGGGAAATAACTACTCATCAACAATGCCATGAATATTAGCTGATCTTCGTGAAAATGCTAACGAATATTCAACTTCAGGGCCTGGGAAACCAATCCATCCAATAAAAATATCTCTGACAAACAAAAATTATCTATCCTATACATATCTTTCTCTGCATTCTCTTTCTTCCCAGCCCCTACAAACATACACTTCTCTACCTATAGATGATACGTAGTCTAAAAAAACCAATGTTTTCACAGTGAAATGAATATCCAGCTAGTCCTGCTGTTGCCCAGTCGTCCGGCTGGAAGTGGAGAGTGGTCTTCTATAACACTGCACAACAACCCGCTTTCCACCCTTACTACACATCTAGAGGGCACCTACTTGCCAAGGTATTAAAAATGAGGTACCGAGTTCAATGGAAATGGAGAAAACACAATGGTGTTTTCATTTTCACTAGTGAGAAGGTTCAAAATCAGGTCTATATAAGCAGAACTGCTCACAGTTCTATACCGTATCAGCACAAGCACACCAACACTGCTCTTTTGGACGACCTTTCATATCTTTGGGTTTTTTCAGCTTAATTTTTAAATGAGTTGCTATTTTTGAGCTGGGACCAAGTCATAGTTTGCCCAAGAAAAAACAACTGTAGGAATATTCTGAAATTGCTGTACTTCTTAACCAAAACCTTGCAAATCTCAAAACCATTGCTCACTGACAATAGAACAGATAGAAATTAAGTTTCCTAGCAAGTAAATAGCTCATCTACAAATTAGGCTACGACTGTCACTCAAATACATGTATCTAAAAATTATACACTAAAGCAAATATAAAGATCTACATATAAGTATAGGGCCAAAAATAATTATGAAAGCTTCTTTTGTGACAGGGTCATTTTAATCATGGCCCCACAAGTTCAGTTTAATCATAAAACACTAGTTACTGCTCTGACATGTGGGAGCTGTGCAAAACAAACACAAGTGAGCAGAAATCTGTCCCTTCCATTTCACCCATCATCTCTGATGTGCTTGAGTATTTGCTGATAGTGGAAACCTTAGAGAGACCGGAATGAGCCCAGGCTCACTTTCATAACACAAAATAAGCAGATGTTAAGGGGAAAATAGTCCTTATACATGAATTGAAAGAGAGGAACTTGAAATCATGGAGAAATCACAAAACAGAAGCTTCTCAAAGCAGAACTGCATGTTAAACGGAAGAAGAAAGAGTCCTCAAATTTGGTTTACTCCTCTAGTCACCCAGCTCTGCTCAAGAAATGAATCCTTTTTTATGCAGTTTATGAGGAGACATGATGAGCTGCTGAGGGGAAACTTCCAAGGACCATGTTCTCATCTGATGAATCAAGGTCACTCTGACCTCTAAAATTGCGTGATGCTGGAATTTCCCTGTCATTCCTGATAAACCCTCAAGATAACATGCATTCCATCACATTTCGCCTCCTTCACTTTTTAAGTGAAGTTTTACTATGGATTTACAATGGATTTCAGAACACAGATGTTGAAAAATATTTATCAGGACTCTACCTCTTTAGACAGAGCACTCAAAAGAAGCACTGGTACTTATTTCATTGTGTCACATAGTGAACATAATTGTGACTTCTCTTGTGTATTAAATCCTACCTATTCTGGTATTTAAATACAACACAGTCATAGGAACAGTAATAAAAAAAGGATGAATGAAGGAGGAAAGAAAGGGAGGAGTTTTCCTCTGTCAGTTTCTTCATGCAATTTACAGCTTATTTACTGGTTAATCCTAAATCGTTTCCAGTGACTGGCAGCAGTCAAACTACCTGAACTGAGTTTAATGAGCACTCCTGCAAGGATACCCCAACTTCTTCCATTTCTATTGTCATCAGTAGTATAAATGGGATTAGGTCTCAAAGAAAGAATAGGGAGGTATTTCTTCCTCCTCCATAACCCTCACCACTGTGTGCAACTCCTGGGATTCCTGGGTGATGATGCTGGGGAAAAGTGCTCAGTCTTGGTGAAGAATCCTGGGGAGAAGTAGGACTAAACAAAGGCTTTTCAGGTTTCTTCATTGTAGGAGAAGACATATCTGCAATTGAAAAACAATGGAACAGTGACATTAGCTTAGAAGCCCATCTCAGGACATATCATATTGTAGACTGAAGATACTTATTTTTACTATTCTTACATAAATATTGTTTGCTGACCCAACTCCCCTGTGACCAATAAACTAATTTTAAACTATCACTTTCAAACATGAGAATGAATAATAATCCCCTAACTGGTCTTTGTCCTGCAGAACAGAAACTACATTCCTTTCATATGAGACAAGCCAAACAGTGAAGAAATGCATGTCTTCAGAACCTCCCTAGACACTTCCCACGTCCCCAGAACATCACCAAATCATCTGCTCCTTCAACAGCCACATAACCCTTACTGCATTTTTTAATGGAACACCTACACTCAGGTGTGTAGGGTAACTGACACATACCTGTTCATGGTATTTATTATTTTGTTATTTCAAATGCCATTCCTTACCCTTCCTAAAACCATAGTGAAACAATGTAACCTCCCTAAGTATAAAGGATACTTTAACTTCTTTATCTCATATTTTCCACGTCTCAAGTGGGGCCTTCCCACCTCTTCCTTCCAGTTTCTCTATCAACAAAAACATCTCTTTAGAGCTCACTGTGTGAAGATAACACACCAGTAGGGACAAATGTATGATTGCTATCATGCAGGGTTACTGATATTGCATAAAGCAAAAATACTGATTCTTTCTGAAAGTTTAAATTAATTTAAAAATATTTGTTGGACTTCGCACCAATTTATTCCAAAGTTAATTGTTTTGTGCAAGGTCCTGCACGTGGGTCAGCGCAATCCCAAGCACCACTATAGGCTGGGCGAGGAACGGATTGAAAGCAGCCCCGAGGAGAAGGACTTGGGGGTATTGATTGATGAGAAGCTCAACATGAGCCGGCAGTGTGCGCTTGCAGCCCAGAAA